ACGATTCGTGGTAATTCGCAGTCAGATTGGCGCGAAAGCCAGTTTCAATTTGTAAGATGTGAAATGGAAAAGAAACCTCATTAATATATACGGGAAACAATTTTGTCCATTCGCGACTTTGTCCCTGGTCCATCAATTTTAAAGCAATATAATTTACTCAATTCCAATTCTTTATTGTATTTTAAATAACGTTGAAATAGTCAAAAACATTAAAATTCGTTCTTCAGGAAAGATACAAATAAAGATGACTAAACGTAGGCAATATTATGAATTATGATTTAAAATTAAAAATTTTGTACAACCGACTTTAATATAAATTATTAAGAATAACTCAAAAACTAATAAATAAAGAACCATTGAAATCGGTTCATCGAGAAAAAGTAATGAGGTAACACACATAAAAAAAACATACAGTCGAATTGAGTACCTTCTCCTTTTTGAAATCGGTAGAAAGATAATTACATAGATTAGTAAAAGTAATTCATAAGGCCATCTCGTATACACCAGACATAGAATATCCAGACCCGCGACGGGCAGCAGCGTCAAAGGTGCTACACGTCTAATACTGCGATAGTCAAACCGCTTTATTTACATCACACCATCACACTTCATATTACAACACTATACACTCTCCATGCCATCTCTACACCAGGGAGGCCCGTGTTCAGCAGTGGACATCTGCGGGCTGACGAAGAAGTCATTAATAAAATTTGCCGTGCGGTGGCGAAGTAAGAAATTCCACCACCGTTTTGCGTAAAGGCCAAAGTTCTATGAGGTATCTCTTTCTCTCGCCTTAAAATAGTTGCCAGATGCAAAATATGCGTGATGATGATTGGTGTCGAAGATGTCCTACATGCCAAGCGTAGCAAATACTTCCTGAAATAGGTTGCAGAGTAGGACGCATGACAAAGAAATTTAAAAAAAAAGAAATTAAGAAATCAGGCGAATTTTTTTTATAGAATAATGGTGACAAACTAGCACCCGGGTTCACGTAATGGACGGTGGATACTGTGGCCCATAGACGTCTATGTATATCTATCCTCGATTAAGTATCAAAATGCAAATGCATTGTCACCACTGAGGACTAAGATGGAATGCCTGACATCTACTAAAAAGGGTATCCGGTTCTCTGCAGTTACATGAAACACAGCAGCAGTAAGCTGCTATTTTACGCTCATAGTCTCATTAGTGCTACAACCATAATATAGCTGCAGCATGGCTTTACCACGTATTTTATATTAAATTAAAGTAATTAATGTATATTTATTTTAAAAATAATACCAAAATTTAAACTATTTGTGGTATAATGCTATGTTATCTTCTAATGATTATGTAACAATTAAGGGTTATAAATGGAACACCTTATAAATACAACTAGGAACATGAGCTGATACGTTCAAGAGTAAAACTTAATGAAATATGTATTAAATTTAACCATAATGTCGAAGAAATAAAAATATTTCTTACTATTACAAATCTTAAACTTTATTTTCAATTATAAATTGTTATTATAAACTGCATTTATATCTTTAAAAGATAAGGAAGAATGCATGGACATATTATATTATTATATTTTAGAAGGTAAAATTGTAATTGTTTTTGTTAGTTTCTGGCCGCTCCTTTTCACAAGGTCCCACAGTGCGACGGACTTGTTGGAGTGATGATGTAGCTATTTACTTTCAAAAATTGGTTTGTAAAAGCCAATTTTAAATGAAAATATTGTGACTTTAACTTTGACTAATAAAGGTAACTCCACATCTTAGGGTGATTATCTTGTCGTAATATACACACGTTACAATACCATCCATTACATCTCCCGTTTGACTTGTTTGTTCTAAGCCTAGAACGAGAATTAAAACGCGGTAGAGCGGTGCGACATACAAAGAAATAAATATAAAAAGAACATTTATTTTGGTGCACGTTAGAAATAGACGTAAGCATGCATCGGCATCAGTACTAGCGGCTAGCGGATCTATAAAATTGGTTTGAGATACTCCTTTACGTGAACTGTTTGTAGCTCGAGCCAAAATGAAAAACAGTGTCGAGAGAGCAAACATAAGTTTACGAATACTACATTTATATATTGCATCCCATAAATCTACAAAACTTGTTATATAATAATAACGATGTAAAGGAATACATCATCCCATTTCATTGTGTCGTCAAACTTGACTAAAAAAAATACATAATATGCCATAGCCATTTAAAAACGGTGAATCGCTCCTACTTTTGAAGACTGAATGAAATAAAACAACAACAACACAAACACTCACGCCTGTCACCCAGAGGGGTAGGCAGAGACTACGGACTTCCATTTCTCGCAATCCTGACACACCTCTCTCGCTCCTTTACATCCATATATCTACGCCATACACGCTCGTCGGTTAAGGGTACTCCTAATCTGGCCCATTTTCAATGTATCGCCGATTTGGTCGATAAACCTTCGTCTAGGGCGTCCCTTCCAGACCCTGCCGTCAACTTCTGAATGAAATGCTATACTTACATATGTTTTTTTGAAAATAATATATAATGCTTATGTGCCAAAAATTATCAAAAATAAACTACGAGATCAAAAACACAAAACATAAATCCGTGCCATAGATACGAAAATGTGTATGTGTGGGTGTAACGTTATTGCTTAGTGTACTACAAGCTTTTAACAGCTGACTATATAAACGAGGTGTTTCGTAATACGTTTAATCCCAAACAAAATAAATATAAAAATAAAATTCATCATTACAGCCCTTCACAAGTCCACTGGTGAACATAGGCCTCCCCCAAGGAATGCCACGAAGCGCTGTCACGAGCCACCTGCATCCATTGAGTACCTGCATGTCTTACCAGGTCGTCACTCCATCTAGTGGGGGGATGACGTATACTTCGCCTGCCGGTACGAGGCTGTCACTCGAGAACCTTTCTTCCACTTCGGTTGTCGGTTCTTCGAGCTATATAGCCGGCCCATTGCCACTTCAGCATAATAATTATTTAGGCTATGTCCGTTACTCTGGTTCTACTGCGGATATCCTCGTTTTTAAGTCATCACACAGAGAAACGCCGAGCATAATCCTCTCCATAGCGCGCTGAGCGACTGAGATTCCTCATACGGCCAGCAGTGAAAGACCATGTCATAGATCCATAGGTCATCACTGAACACGCATTGTTTGTACAATCTAGTTTTAAGGTTTTGAGGTATGTTTGACCATATGAAAATGTCTCGTAATCTCCCGAACGCTGCCCAGCCGAGTTGAATCCGTCGATTGACCTAGTTGGGCTATTTTATTAATAAATTTGAAATCATATCTTACGTAACTGTATTATAAAAGCTGGTCCCAAAATACATCCCTCTGGGAACCCCTAACGCGAAACTAAACTAAAGTGATTATTGAATTGTTATAAAAATTGATTATGCTCTATAATAATAACGATACACTATCTCAAGCATAAATTTCTGACGAGGTCAACATTGTCAATTTTATAACTCAATTCATAAGAGTAAAAATGGTAGTTTAAGTTGTCAAACGACTTTAATAAGACAATTATAAATTTATTTAGATAAGAAACCTAATTCATTATTTTAGATATTAATATTACAGGAACTTGTCAAATAAAGCATATCTTCATGGTTATAACGTTGACCTCAAATAATTTATCAAGGACCCAGCCAATTATATCAAGACACTTATACGAAAAACGCTTAGTAACAAAACAGATAACTCATCTAGACGCGTTAATATCATACTCAGCGTAGTTTACTACAGTTTTAGATAACCTTTAACACCAAACTTTGATACAGAAATACAGCGTTATTAAACCTTTATCAGCGGGCACGTGGTTGTATCATCATTGATCGGCCAAAGGTTTCGTCATTGAGTTTAAAAAAAAACTGTGTTAACATAATGTTCTTGAGTTCTGGAGAATAGATAATAGTAAATTTTTGCCAATTAGATACTGCTAATAATGGCCACTCGTAATCAAAAATATTTTTTTGTATAAATTGACTACAGTTTTCCGCTAAAAATCGGCCAGCTGTATTGTGATAACTGCAATTTTCATTAATTCATTAACAAATACATTTAGGATATCCTGATAAGAGAAATAAGTAAGATATTATTTATAGATAAGGAAGAAAGAAAATATTTGTAAATCTTCTAATTTATATATATTTATATAATTTATTAATCAACCGTTTTTTATGCAGATTTACGAAAAAAATTGAATAAATAACAACACGTTATATATTACTTATAGTAAATCAGGCTGACAAAGCGCGCATACTCTGCTGAAAAGCTATTTTAAAGAATTAAGAATTAAGGCTTATTTATTAGAGACAAATGAGAAATTTTTACAAGTAAACATTCATCAAATTCATAAGTATAATGTTGTCGTCAATGAATTTCAAAGGAATCCACCACAAAGAATGTAAGGGGGAAAATGACGAAAAAATAAATGCATCGGAAAACGCGGTGCACTGATGGCATGGCATGTCGATGGGGACATGGCTCTGGCGACCGATATTTTAATTATGTCTGCCCCATTGAATAAATTGCTGTTTGAGCTAAACTTATTATAACACATTTAGATTGAACTTATAGCAATAGATATAAATATAATTGTTTATTATTTTCGACCGACAAAATGACACTGCATTTTATAATTTATAATGCATTAGTTAGAATAAAAGCGACCACGTATGTATATTTGAAATATGTCAGTCGCATCAATCAAGACTCTAAATACATAATATATAATAATCTAGGATCAAGACTATCATAATAGAGGAGCGATCTCGACAATTGGCTTTATTTATGTCTCAAATGACTGACCGTGTAGTGTTTCATCCCGTGGGTGTCGTAAAGTCGACAGAGGGAAGCAAACCAGGAAATGGGCAGCAGGTTCTTACTAAAAAAACTACGTATGCCAACACACCTGACAAGCGTGGCAACTATGGCAAATGTCTCCTCCTATAAAGATATCTACGATAACAAACAAAATGCACTCACCTAAGCACATATGCGTCGACTTGCTCGCTCTGCGTGAAAGAAATGATCTCGCATCGGACGATCTTGAGGACGCTCTCCCATTGTTGTCTGCAGACAATAAGAATTAAATGAGTCTAGATCTAGAATATACATGTTTTTGATGGCGACAACATCCGAATATTTTTGGCGATCTTCCATACGGGGCTTAGTACATACAGCAGTCTCGGTCTCTCACAAATAATATAAATTATTGTAACCTTTGTGTATTCTTATATTAGGTAAGCAAAGTTTGTTAAAAAAAAACAACACATTTGGCTGATACGGTGAACCCAAGCAGAACGGCTATGAGTAAGCAAGTATGTGACACACAGTCAACCTGATGCTAAGTGAATTCTATGGACCAATAAAAAGGGTACTCCAGTTCTGTACAAATAACATACGGAATTAATTAGCATTCTGTCGTTATTTTATGCTGGTATACTTTGAGAGCATGGCCTTTCTTCTGTCGAGCCGACCCATTTGTGCTGCACCCATAATATATGAGCAGCTTGGCTTGCTGAGCGACCTTGTGTTTCCTCCAGTGAAGGGCCTGGTTTGCACAACCTTGGTTTTCAGTTTTGAAGTATATCTAACAAGATCGCCAGAACACTGCCCAGCAGAGTTGAATCCATCAATTGACCTTGATCATCTCGTTTGAAGTTCTACATAGTAGGAAAATTTGTCTCCTAGATAAGCATACTCATCAACAACTTCGAGCGTAGAACTGCTAATAACTACCGGCACAGATGTGACATGGACATCACACATGATCTTTGTCTTGTTCGTGGTTATTTTAAGTTATTTATTTTATTAACCAGAAAACAGTGCATATGCGCATCGTCACGGTGGACTGCGTTGGATCTGCGTAGGACAGGATTATAGAGCATTAATGTATCTGCAAGAACAGGTGCACTCTCTATCCCACACTCTTATAGTTCGCACCGATGGGACGGCATTCAGATATGACTGGACAGAGATCAGACACAGGACCGGACATGAAACACCACCAACTTTCAGGCTCCAGGCTGCTACTATGAATTTCTTGGTAATAAAACCCAATAAGTGATTGTGGTCTGACCTGGGATTTGAATCCAAGACCAAATGATCAGCACTTGTGCTTACCATTAGACAAACAGATGGTGAAAAATAATTACTGCCATTATTAAATAGATAAACAGCTTATTAATGGACAGCATAGCTCCCTACCAAGGGAGGGCAACTGGTTGCTGCTTCATATCTCTGGTCTTAGCCAAATATAAAAATGGAAATGGGCAGGACACATAGCTAGATATCAAGACAAGAGATGGACCTACCAAACAATAAAATGGAAGAGCCCATTTGGCAAGAGGAGTTTACGATGGCAAAGGAAAAGATGGGTGGATGACATTATTAACACAGAAGGAAAACAATGGATGCAAATTGCCAAAAATCGCGAAGAATGGTTCAAGCTGGAGGAGGCTTTTACCCAGAGGGACTAAATAATCCAACAAATACTTTCTAATAGTTCTATGTATTTTTTTTTGTTAACTCTGTAATTGTGTAGAGAAATAAAGCTTTATCATATTATTATATTATATATATTATATCTCTGGTCTGGATATACTTTAACAATATAAAGTCAAGTCAAAGTTAAAATATTTTTATTCAAAATTGACCTATACAAAACACTTTTTGAGAATAAAACAAGTCGTTAAATTAAAAAAAAAGTAAAAACGGACATCTACAAAATCGCAATTTTATAGGAGAGCAGATTTAGTAAAAAATTGTGGTCATTTTGAAAGTTATGGACCGATAAACATGGAATTTTCTATGAAGCCTTAAAATAGCATTATTTTTGAATTATGTAATAGTTTTTATCGCTACGTCGTTGTTTTACTAAAATAATTTAGATGTCTTTTTTACTCTAAACACTATGGCGTAGAAGAAGACATCTGCCTGATATCCGTTTATAAGTTGTGATAAAAAAGCGTCCATTTCATTTAAAATATGTAATAAACTAAGATAATAATCTCCATTAATACTTTTAAGGATATTTAAAGAAAATTTATGCAACATGCAAACAGTATTCCCCTTTTATTGACGAAATTTTACAGATGTCTTTATTTACTTTGCATTTAACATTTTATAAATTATCAATAAATGAGTTATCTACCAGGTGGACAAATTCAAATGTCCATATCTACTGTGATGTTTTTTTTAAATCGAGGGTAGATGTCTTCATTTACGTACCAGATTTTCTTCATTATTTTGAAATTTGAAATAATTTTAATACAGACTTGTAGATATGGTTGATTTAAGCTCATTTTTGTAAAAAAAAAGCATTTTCATAAAAATGTAGATGTCCGTTTCTACTTTGCTGTCATCGATATAAACAAGGGGTAGAATGAAAATTGTTGTAGAACCGGTTTCAATATAAATAAAATGAGAAGCATTAATAAAGATAGCTCAAAACTACTGGTAAGATCTTGATCAAATTTATATGTGGTCCCACATGAGCAGCACCAGCTTTCAAATAAAAAAAGAATCATCCAAATCGGATCACCTAGAAAATAGTTTTGAGACAACACACAAAAAAAACAGTCGAATTGATAAATTCCTTTTTTGAAAACAACACTTGTATTACTTGAAGAAAATAATAACATTAATAACTAACTTTTCAAAATTTATTTAATTATAAATATTATGTTTATAATTAACATAGGTACCTACTCAACAAAAATATATATAGGGTTGTTAGGGCCAAATATAGGGTTGTTACCACTACTATATAATTTAGGAACCTGCCAATTTAGGGGTTAGAATACTTTAATAGTAAAAAATATTAAATAGGCAAAATTACTATACTATAATAAAGGCTGACTATAAGGAAGGCTGTTAGTAAAGGCTTGCAAAGCAGCAAGCAATATTCCTGTAAAAATAAAAATTTAATATATTTTATAATTGCTTTTCTTTTACCATATACCTTCTATATTTTACAAATAATAACCTCGAAAATAATATAATTGTTGTAAAAATGGCAACCATACCAACTCATTAATCTTTCCTTGTCTGTTCTTATGTATATTCCAGTAATTCAATTAATCATCACCAAAAAACTTGTTCATGTAAGGAGTGGAAACAAGTTATCTAGTAATGTTTGATAAAGGATTTTAATTAGCTTATACATCTATAGCTTATATGTGCATAATTTAAGTTTAGCTACAGATCGAAGAAAAAAGGTCTAAGCAATCTTAGTTTTTTTGGGTACTCATAATTTGTAGTTGTTCAATTTTATTTCTGTGTTCTGTTCAATAAATTTATCATCTACTTGTAACAATGATTAGTCCTTATACTTTTTGTATTTATTTATAATGAAATAAAATTGTTAACTTAAATATAATGATTACACTATACAAACTCATGGTAGTTGATGGGACTCATGGTGTACTGATTTACTGCCAACCAACGGCTGTACCAAGGTCGAGCCACCGGCACCTCAATCTCGATTTACAATACCTAGACGAAGAACTGATTCTAGAAGCTTCCTTTCATAGCAACAGTGGTAAAAATACAGAAAGGCAAAAAAATAATATGGCATATAGCAATATTTATTCAATTTTAGAAAAACGAAATTTAATAATATAGTTGGTTACTATATGCTATAGAAGTACAAAAAGGTTATATACATAGCCGGTAACCAAAAATGTTCAATAAAGACGTATTATAAGCTGAAGATAACAGGAATGGTGATAAATATATTTTAATATTTTTCATCTTTACTTACCGAGTAATTTTCCTCAAGTCTGCATGTTTAGCCGGCGTGAACCATATTTCTATAAGTTTTTCAACACCTTCAAAAAATTGATCGTTACTATCACTATTAGATATTATTTCTGTTTCAGCCATAACTGTTTTATTTCAGTTTTAATTGAGAAAAATTTATAATTATCAATTTGATTGCAGCTGTAACCGTTGCACAACCGCTATATTCAAGTGACAGAAATTGACTGAAGAAAAACTAAAACAGCTGAATGCCTGAAACTGAATGAAACAAAATTATTGTCAAACTGCAGGTGACTGAGGAGATGGGCTTATCAACATCTCTTTCTTTCAGAGCGAGCGAGTCGGCAGCGGCACGTTTGTGTTCACCCGCCTTTCACCCGTTTAGAGCACAGACCACAGACTAACTAGTAGCTAGTAGGTTCTGCAGAATTTATATTCTTTTATTAAAGATATTTGGCTTGGATGCTTGTCTTTTAAGCCATATTTTGATTTATCTCAGTATAAGTCGCGGCGGTATGCCTTTTTCAGTGAGCGAAGCCTGCATGTCAGCTTTCTTGGAATTAGAGGTTGGTGTTTATTATGAAAGGATGCGTTGTAGACTACTAAGACGATATTGGCATTAACTAAGTTCTGAGCCATTTTTCATAGTTCTCGAAATTCATATCGGTAGTCCCCTGATTTGGTACCAGATTTAAAAGTCTGCAACACATTGTGTATAAACCCAGTTTCAGACCCTGCGTGGACAATAACAACTCGCTGTCCTTTCGAAATTGGTTTTTTGAGGCCCTTGGTAGTACGATCGGTCCTGGATTTTAGAGAAGAAAGCGATGAATCTACGTAAGATTCGTCCGTATATACAATAGGTCTTCCCTCTTGGCGATATTGCTTTATTTTACGTAAACATTCGATACGTTGCAAACGTATATTTGAAGTTTCAATCAGCACTTTCCGGCTGTTTTCGATGTTTTTACACCGAACTCCCAAACTCATTATTCGTCGAAGACAACGTTCTGAGCCTTTTGAATTTATGTCTTCTTCTAGCTTCCTTTTCAGCTTTCCGACGGTAGGAAGTTCATTATTTGTCTTGTGAGTTATGAATGCACCTCCTTATTACTCCTTGGTAGAAGTTATTGATATTTGTGACCGGTTTTATTCGAGAACGTTTTTGACAGGTGTTCTGAACACTATGATAAAATCGGAACTATTGGCTTGAGTGGAGATATTCCTTACCATTGAAATTGACGTATTTGTAGACTCTGCTGTCCTTGTTCGGATTTTCCCTAAACTTAGGTTACTGATTTACCATTTAATTTCATATTTCCTGCTTTAATAACTTCTGCAGTTTAAACTTAGTGCTACTGTCGAAATGACTAAGTAAAATACTCGTAGCTTAGCCAATCTCAATTTTGATTTCTTTTAAATAATCAATTAATTCATTAGATTCTCTTTTCAAAAAACAACGCACGTCATACACGATTTTCCTGGCCTATCTTCTCAAAACAGTATTTCTTCTAGGCATGTTCACTGTTTAAAGTCACAAACGAACTTAATAAAAACAAATCAACAAATTCAAACTTTACAAAAAACAACAACAAAAATTAACAGCAATAACAATACAGTTTAGAACGCGACGTTACACTGGAAGTGCGCAGGGCATTATATCTGTAAATGGGGGCGCAATACGACTGGAAAGCCAATCAGCGCGTGCGAACGATATACACACCCACCCCACTATCCACTTACTACCTCATGATATCTTATTTTCGACTTATGCGCAATAATGGTTACCACTAGACTTAAGTGATAATAATCTTTTATAGTACACTACTTAACAATATAGTAATGCTTCACATTGCCTCTGGAAGATGTTGACGGCAACTTGAGCTAGCACTCAGTTGGCGATAGTATCTCAAGGCGCCTAAGCAAACAGACACCTTACCTTGATATGCACATCACAATCATAGCACTTGTTTCACCGTTTCCAATTTCACATGCGCAGACATTTACTACACAATATGTACACATCACAATCCACTACAAACCATTATTTAAACAATAATACAGGATCAGCAATCCGCCGCCAGTCGAGTTAATATGACTCATCGATATATACTATAAGAGAGTATTATGACTCTTGATACTGAAAATCTATAAAATCGAAGATCCCTAATGAAATGGAGAAATGGCTTAAAGAACAAGCATCCAAGCTAAAAATGTTCATAAAAAAAACTATAGACTTGCTACCATGAAGTTATAGATAAAGATATCTTTATCTAAAGCGCGGCGCCCACCTAAGTAACGTAACGCGTGATTTGACGCGTAACTTGTCACTCGCCTCAACATTCAAAGATATTGTATGTAGTAGCGCCCATTAGCGTGGCGTGATGCTGCATGACCTGACGTGCCATTCAGCTTGCTACTAGTGACGCATTGAAGTGGCGCGTAACACGTAACTTGCAGTGACTTGTCTATACAAAATGAAAGACGACCTAGCTTTTTTTCCTTTCATGAAAGGCCATGTATACAATATGATTGTTCTAGACCCGATTACATTAACAGGAATTCGCAAGATACTTCTTGCAACTTATAGTGACTTGCCTATGCAAAATATAATTCTGATTCCTTCATACCATTGAAAGTAACACCACTTTTCAATTTTTTTCCACAAAGCATGTACCCGAAATCTTTTGCTGGCACTGAGGGCTAATAATCTTCCACTCACCAGATGTCGCTTGTTGTGACTGAGGTAAAGTTTTTCGTTACATAGTGTCAGTTAATTGAGAAATTAGTTTTAAATAATAGTTTATCATTATCTAGAGTATTATATTAATATACAACAAAATGCGTCAGTGGTTTGATTATTAATTTTTTGCACTTTATAACTCTTTTTTTAAATTTATCCACTTTAAGTTATATTTATAGTTTAGTTTATTCATTTCTAATGTAATTAATAAAAAAATATAACTAACAATACGAAAAGAAACCTTAAATATTACATTTTCCTAAGAAATTATCGTGCCTGCTATGAAATCTGTCAAATATTTTACCTCACTGTAAAGTGGCGCCGCCCTGGTGGCAGAAAAAGTTGTGGATGCCCTCCTTGGAATGTTTGAAATCTGTAGCATAGCAAGGGCATGTTTATCTTCTTCAGACGACATTTTGGCTCAAACTGAATTCTGCGATATGCTATTGTTGCACAGGTTGGCGCAAGCAGTGTCACCCGTGGTCACGTCAGAGTATCGTCAGAATCATGCTACAAGCCATGTCGAAATCATGTAGCTTAGGTGGGCGCCGCGGTTAAAACTTCATGCTTGCTACATATTTATTTATCTATGGTTCATATTTCCCTATATAAAAAAAATACTACCCTGTGCATATTAGTCTGTGGTCTCTGGTCTCATGGTCTGCACATACCATAGATATGCTATATCTATGGTGCAAATACAAACGGTTTTTAATTTTTGGATTCTCGAAAATTGTTTAGAAATTAGAATTTGGAAATTTTATAACAAGTACCTTGGGGATTACTTTATCTATGTGCTAATCCTATAGTGTTTATTATATTAGTAACTTCGACATGTATATCAAATACTTATAATATTTAATAATAACTATAAATTAATATGAAGAAGTGTGGTAGTGATCCCAAAGTTACTAAAACACTTATTAGAAATTACGAGCAAAAACCTTTATCGAAAGTGAAAGAAGCGGCATATGAAACACAGGCAACGTCATCCAGTGTTTTACATAAAAAGAGTACACAAAAGGGCCGATCTTCTAATAATAATAATGTACTGAGTTGCCCAAGTTTATGTTCAAGTGAAGTATTAGCTAATTATTTATCAGATGTTACCAAAAATCTTTCTCCGCCACCTGTGGATATGGACCTGGATGTTGATAAAGCGTTACTAAATACGAAAGTAAGTTATTTTCATTAATATTATACAAACTAGCTGTTCCCTGCGACTTCGCCCGCGTGTAATTTAGGGTTTTAATTTTTTTGCGCGTAACCCTAATTCTTTTTTTTAAATATAAGTAGCCTAAGTTACTCCCTATAACATTAGCTATCTGCCAGTGAAAGTCCCGTCGAAATCGGTTCAGCCGTTTCGGAGATTAACCGGAACAAACATACAGACAGACAAAAATTTTAAAAAATTGTGTTTTTGTTATAAGTTCCCTATAAACTTTCATATGCATTTAGTGAAAAGCTGTTATTTTGACATTACAAACAGACACCTCAATTTTATTTATTTGTATATAAATAAGTGTCTGTTTGTAATCTCAAAATTACAGCTTTTTACTAAATGCATATGAAAGTATATACAGTACTAATAACAAAAATACAATTTATAAAGTTTTTTTCTTTCTGTCTGTCTGTCCATCTTTCTGTCTGTTTGTTCCGGCTAATCTCCGAAACGGTTGGACCGATTTTGACGGGATTTTCACTGGCAAATAGCTGATGTCACAAGGAATAACTTAGGCTACTTTTATTTTAGAAAAAGAATTAGGGTTCCGCGCAAAAAATTAAAACCCCAAATAACACGCGGGAGAAGTCGTGGGGAACAGCTAGTATGAAAATAAAATATTCACTGGTAGCTTTACATTTGCGCAGCGCCTTAGTCGTTACTGCTTAGTAGAGGTGTAAAAGTAACGAAAGAAAGTGTACTCGTATGTATTTGTTACTTTAACAATTAGTACTCTTTACTATCGTATCGATACGTTACTCGTTACTTCTGAATTCTAATACCTCACAACATGCTGTTATGTTAGAGCATCGAATCGAGTCGTATTGCGTACGCGTACAGTATGACGTCGCGGCTTATTTTGAACCAGACTTGTGTTTAAGTTATTCTAAATTTAGTTTAATTTAAGATAAAAACAAAAAAAAAAAACGTGAAAATACGCGATAATAAAAAACAAAAACATACATATTTCTAATTTGTAAAAAATACTTTCTTACCTTCTTATGTACCAATCTAAAACTTCGTGTACACACACAATACCTTCAATAAGTAGTAAAAGACTTGGACGACGAATTTCCAAATTATACTACACCTAATAAACAAACATCGCTCTTTGTAACATACGTTTTTAAATTCACCGATTAAGTGTGCGTATGCGTAAAACATACGATCAGCAAATGTTTCAATACACGCATCACGTATCATCGATACTTGCGTGAACTGAAACAGTTTAGGTACCCATTGTACGAAAAATGCGAGTAACGAAAGACAATCATGTGTAACGTTTCGTTACTCAGTACTAGATGGCGCACCCGTTACTCAGTACCGAATACATACGGTTTGCTACGGCTTTACTGCTCAGTGATAATGTACCTGTCTACATCCATTAGTCCTAGATATTGACACCTCAGTGGCGCAGTGGCTATTTAATGAGTTGCAGTGCTTGGGGCTGTCGGTTCAAATCCCACACAGAATAAGTATTTGTATGGCCTACAAATAATTGTTTCGAGTCTGGATGGTGTGTCCTTATGCAATTTATGTGTGTAAACTGCCTTCATGATACAGGAGAAAATCCTAGTAACTCCAATAGTTGCATACACAAACTGTTGCTTCACACATTGTGCTGTTACTGCAGCTGTCATAAAGAATAAAACAATTTCTTTTAACTTTTTACAGATGACTAGGATGTTAAATTTTCATTTTAATGATAGAATGTATAAAAATTTGGTGGAATTGAATGCTAATGGCGATGTTCAAAAAAGAATAAAGGATAAACGACCTAATAAATTTGCCATTAAAAAAGATCTGGAACCCCATATTGAAGACTTCATTAATGATGAAAAGGATGAAGATTTAATTCCTACAATTCCTGTCCCAATTACTAAATTTAAACCTGTTAAAAAGGTGGAAAATGGAAAATTACACAAATTAATATCTTCATTTGAAAAGTTATGACAATTTAATATATTATTATGTGTACATATGTGGTTGTTTTATTAGCATGTTCTTTATTACCCTTACCTGATTACAGCCTGTCACAAGTCTACTGCTGAACATAGGTCTCCCGCATATTGCCTCACAATAGGAATATTTATGCATAGTTGTTTTGTTTGGCAGGCACGTTGGCAATGGCAGTTAATTATTATTGTTATTGAGTGAAATGCCCATACATGTCTTGTTTCTTTTTCCCTTTGTTGTATGTTACAACATTCACAGGATGATTTAGGATTGTGGTTTTGTTACACCGCCAAACCTTAACTTTAACTTTATCTTTATCCATTGAAACTTGGTTCACTTGGCACACCTATGGGATGATATGGGGTAGTGGATATTCTTATACTACCACTACACGGTCAATAGTCACCCTTATATTCTATTTAAGAAAAGTTATTTTCAATGTAATGTTTAATTCTTTGTCAAGATTTTTGTTTGCTATTGAGTTTTTTATAATTTTTGTTTACCTTTATTGATATCTTAATTTAATCTTTTTATTATTTTTTCCATTTCAAAAATAAGTAATTCTTCAGCCGAACCAAGGCTGCTTAGAGGCTGGGCATAATATACTTGTAAAAAAATATAAGCAATTTTAACTTTATTTTTAGGCATTATTAATTAGTCATCTGCTAACATACATTATTATATAGTATTTATTTCTACAGAGTTCAAGGAGGAGGTACTCAATTCAACTCTTATGTTTTTTTTTTATGTGTGTTACCTCATAACTTTGTTCTATGTAAACTAATTTCAATGATTCTTTTTTTATTTGAAAGCTGGTGCTTCTCATGTGGTCCCAAATACATTTGATCAAGGTCTGACCAATAGTTTTTGAGTTATTCTAAATAATATATATTGAAGTCTGTTGTACATAATTTTTAATTATATATTCTTAACACTGCTAAATCTAGTCTAGAGTCTCGAAATTTATAAACTTTGTGCTTGAATCTCAATCACTCGGGTTTAAGGGTAATTCCAAAAATAATGACTGACCTTGTTTTAAGTGCTGTAACTCAAGTTAAACATTTTAAATGTATCTATACTCAAAAATTAAATAACTTTTATCTAATTTGGATTAAACATGTATCTAGTTGACAAATTGTGTTGATTGTTGTGTATTTTTTTTAAAACACGTTAAAATATGACAATTTTTAAGCTTTGGGAACTGAATTTTGGATGTCACTAAAATCACTCTTTTTTTTTTTTTTTTTTTTTTTGCGGATGGAAAATCATCTAATGACGCCTTTCACTGTGGGTGGAGCGGAAGGGAGTGTCAGACTTTTACTGACTAAAAACCATCCGTGTTCCTTCAGTGCCCTTACGTTCCGGAGCCGCGGTATCTCTTTCGAACAGCCCGCAGCCCCGGCAGGCGTCGGCCCTTGCGGGCCCCTTCACGCTGCTGACAGCTCTTTGAGGCGCGCGTGGAACAAAACGCGCCGTCGACACGGCCTGTCGTCGTTAGACGGACGGACGGCGAGCTACCCATTGCTCGCCGTCCACAGGCCCGCGCCTACGGTGGTCGGGGGCCACGACGTAGCCCCCGACGCCCGGGGCGTCTCCCGCGGCGGCCGGGAAGGAAAGCTGTTGCTCTTTCCTTCTCCCGCTCCGCCACCTCCTTCGCTAGCATCACTGCTTCGCAGAAGGTGGTGACGGCATCCCATTCCGTCTCGCTCCGGACCATGGCTTCGACCAGAGCCGGACGCGAGAGGTCGCCGCCGACTAAAATCACTCTGTAGAGTGATTTGTGTGTAATAGTGTTAAAGTAGCTGTGCTCATAATATTTTTTTAAGTAAACCTCAAACTAACCTAAAGATGAAGATTTTAAGTGACAGTGATTCTAAAATCATGCTCATCGCACTTCAGTTTCTGTCGTGACTTTGTATAGTAAATTAGGGATTGAGGAGAATCAATCATGTTGTCTTCTTGCGCTATGAAACGAAGTAAAGATGGTAACTACATCAGGTCAAAAATTCTGATACAATTAGGTACTTTTTCAGCATTGAGTTTTAAATATATATAAATTTTATCTATAAAGCATAATTTTTTAGCGCCTTGGAACAGACATCCCGTTAATGTATTGCAAATTTGCAAATATAATCTGAAATTACCGCGAATGAAATAGTTTTTCTATTTAAAGGCAAGGCGATATATACCCACAGAACACTAATACCCTTGGGCAGTTACTATCACAGACTTTCCTGGTATATAGGTGTTATCTATGCACAGACTTCCACAAACTATTAGGGATATTCGATATACATCGATGCATCGAATTCACTCGATGTTTACAATACGATGCATCGAACCGATCCGATGTTTTGGAAAGTTATTGATATACTCGATGTATCGATGTATTTTCATAAAACATCGAATCAATGATAACCATCCAATGGTAAAAAGGGTATACTTATATCACTATTAATATTATAACTTCTAAATCAGGAAAACAGCGCTCTGATTTAGAAGTTATAATATTAAACCTGTTGGCGGCGCTACTTGGCAGCTGTCAGTCCTTAGCGGAATCAAGAAATTGGCTGGTTGGCAACACTGTGCTAAAGAGAATCAAAAAAAATCGTCTGGTCTGTCTCGGTTTTAAGGCGGCTACTCACTTGCATGCCGCAGGGCAATCTAGGATGAACAGCGATCGGGACAATATCAGAATTGTCTATCTATACACATGCCTGCCATTCAGTATGAAAGTGTACATCTCGGTGGACACATGCGTTGAGAATGGCGCCAGTTTTATCGAAATATCAATGAATCGGTAAATATAGCCTTGGTTCTTTTTTTATAAAGAATAAGGGTGACAAATGAGCACAGTCCACCTGATGTTAAGGAGATACTGTGGCCCATAGGCACCCATATTTATGACAAAACAACTAATTAATTAATAATCACAACCATAACACAGTCCTTAAAAGCTGCAACATTACTTCTTTTCCGTTCCTTCTGCGGCGAAAAAACAAAAAGGAGATAATGGGTGAAGAAGCCGCTGTTTATACACTTCTATCACCAGTGTCCAAATTTCACATTTTTTATTGATATCTATTGTGAAGTGTGCTGCGCGCGAAAGTCACTAACGAACTTATAGCGGGATGGTGTGTGTGGTAGAATGTGTATGGGTCACAGTCTGGTAAAAATTAATTAAGTCCAAACGTACACAGTAAAGTTAACATTTATTCAGTATAGACAGTTACACAAAATATAGATAGTTCCACACGACACAATATACAAATTAATAGCTATACAAAATTGAAGGAGTAGAAAGCGATAGTATAAAACAAAACTATAAAAGCTAGTATTCGCGATAAAATAACGGGACACTCAGTTAGCCAGGCGACATGCGCTTCGCGTGTGAGGTCGGTAAGCAGACTGGCAATGGCAAACGCGGTGCGAGGCGTTGAATGCGCCCGCGCAAGGAACATCGTTCTAACGGTATATGTATCGTTGTTTAGCGCGTTTCCATTGCACAACAAGGCGAGTGTAAATAATTTAGTAAATATATATATAAAATAAATTATAAGTGTATAATATATATATACAAAGTGACGATGAAGTTATTACGTTAAATGAAAAGACGTATTCTATACAAAGTTCTTTAAACATACACAACTAAAAAAATATATAACAATTAACATTCTGGGCGCGGTAGCCTTTTTTTTGTTTTAATATTAAACAACATCATGTAAATGCATCAGATATCACCTGATAAATACTAGAAGTTCAAAGACCCATGGCCCGTGAAGGCCAAGAGACCTATATTGTATTATAGTGCAACGTTGCCAATTTTAAATAATCAAATAAAGTAATAAATTAAGCAAAAAATGTACTTATATGTAACAAAATAAGGCATAATTCTTATGCGCGATGCGACAAGAATTGGGACGGGGTGTTGGGAGGGTGGGATGTGGTCAGTAAGTCACTTAGTCCGACGCCGGCGTCCTTGGGAACGGTTCATTAATCGCTTGACCTAATTTTAGTTTTTCGCGTACACGTCCTTTTAATTTAAAGTTTTTTTTGTGGATATTTTCATAAGTTTCTTGATTTGTTTGTGATAGGACACGTTAATACTATAATAATAATTGTGTTGAGGAGGTGGTGTGACTATTTGTGCGAAATTTGACGCTTTCTTTTACTGTCTTGTATTTTTTATTTGTGATAGGACTCGTTAATAATAGATAAGTGATATTTAATAACTTAGTGGTGTGTCAGCCCGTGCGCAATTGGACGCTTTTATTTTTTTAAACGTATAACTTTTTTTATTTTAAAATGCCTCGTATCAATTTTACGTCATTGGAATACACCGATATGGTTTTAATTTATGGAGAATGCCACCAAAACGCGTCCCTGGCATTACGAACATACCGAGAGAGGTATAATACCACACGTGTATGTCCTACAGACTCACGGATTTTTATACGGGCAGTCCAAAGATTACGTGACGGCGAAAATTTGATTCCACGTCAGGTTGAAATTCCTCCGCGAGGCGCCGTGGCTCAGGAAGAACGAATATTAAATTATTTCGCTCGTAATCCAACATCAAGTCTCCGTAGAGCAGCTCGCCAATTCTGTGTACACCACAAGTCTGTTCACAGAATATTATAAAAAAACAAGCAACGGCCGTTCAAATACGTAAAGGTACAGGCTTTATTAGATAGAGATAAGCCAGTTAGGGAAGCCTACTGTGAATGGCTCCTGAGCAAAGTAGCTAATGACTCTAACTTTTTAGCAAACGTAATGTGGACTGACGAGAGCACATTCACGCGTAACGGAATATGGAATCGGCAGAACTTACGATACTGGAGTCAAGAAAATCCGCAACTGTGTCGAGAGTCTATGCACCAATATAGATTTGCCGTTAATGTTTGGGCTGGAATACACGAAGATCAAATAATTGGTCCCGTGTTTATCGAAGGCAACCTTAATGGGCCTAAATTTTTGGAACTGCTTGACGACACAATGGCGGATTACGTTGATGGACTATCGTTGGGGGCCAATAGCCGGTTATGGTACCAGCTTGATGGAGCACATGCTCATTCAGTGGTGGCTGCCAGGCAGCGCCTCACTGAGATGTTCGGAGAGAACTGGATTGGCAGATACGGACCTTCTCGGTGGCCAGCACGGTCTCCGGATCTAACACCGTTAGATTTCTTTTTATGGGGTTACATAAAAAATGAGGTGTACTCTACTGAAGTAACGACTGTCGAGGACTTAAAAATAAGAATAATGCGGGCTTTCGACAAAATAAACAATTTTGCAGCCAATGGTGCCCTCTTTCGAAAAGTCCGAAATAATATCATGCGACGATGTCAATTATGCATTCGGGTACACGGCGGATATTTTGAAAATTTAAAAATTTGATTTGTTTCATGAACTTGAGTGATTTCAAGGTTAAAGTGATTATTTGGATAAAAAAATACCATGAAATTTGTGATTTGTTGATAACATCGGATTAGCATCGCCCTACGCGTGCCTAATTACCTATGTATGGGCAAGTCCTAGGACCTAGGTATTATAATATAATTACCTATATCGATGTCGCATGAGCAATGAACCGCTGGCCGCGACGTTGCCGCTTCTACAAGTCATTTCAGGTCAGTTAAGTAATATTATCAAGGATGATTTATTTTATGTGATTTTTTACCCTATTTATTTTGTTTGAAAGATGCATTTTTTATTAGTTTTTATTATTGTTTATTTTATTATTTTAACAGACATATATCAACTTGTATTAACTGTTGTGCTATTTAACGTGATAACCTGGGCGCCACCCAGTATATATATCATCATCATCATCATCATTACAGCCCTTCACAAGTCCACTGCTGAACATAGGCCTCCCCCAAAGAATGCCACAAAGCACGGTCCTGAGCCACCTGCATCCATCGACTTCCTGCATGTCTTACCAGGTCGTCACTCCATCTCGTGGGGGGACGCCCTACACTTCGCCTACCGGTACGAGGCTGCCACTCGAGAACCTTTCTTCCCCATCGGTTGTCGGTTCTTCGGGCTATATGGCCGGCCCACTGCCACTTCAGCTTACTAATCCGTTGGGCTATGTCGGTCACTCTGGTTCTACTGCGGATATCCTCATTCCTAAGTTTATCACGCAGAGAAACTCCGAGCATAGCCCTCTCCATAGCTCGCTGAGCGACCTTGAGCTTCCTCATACGGCCAGCAGTGAAGGACCACGTCTCAGTTCCGTAAGTCATCACTGGCAACACGCACTGGTTGTACAATTTCGTCTTGAGGTTTTGAGGTATGTCTGACGAGAAGATGTGTCGTAGCTTCCCGAACGCTGCCCAGCCGATATATATATATATATATATATATATATATATATATATATATATATATATATATATATATATATATATGTACGTATAATATACAATAAGTACGCTACATCACTCCCCCCAGAGACGTCACTACGGGTGATAAAAATCTGGAAATCGAACTGTGCGACCTGAACGCGTCCTTCTGACGTCATCCTGAGCTGGAGTATTAAGCTCTTTGGGACATTGATCAAGGAAGGAACCGAAATTGGGGTCGGATGTGAGAGTGGGATTAGGGATAGGGTTGGAAGCTGGGTCAATCAGCATGTAGGCCGGTTTTAGACGGTCTATGGATACCGTGACGCTTTTACCCTTTATTAATATTTTGAATGTTTTCGCATTACGCTCTAATACTTGGTACGGACCAGTGTAAGGGGGCTGCAATGAGCCACGTAATGCATCGTCCCTTAAAAATACATGATTTGACGCAAATAAGTCCTTGTGTATAAAAATCTTTAATTTATTGTGACGCGCAGCAGGTGAGGGTTGCAGCTTTGATGTTATTTGCCGCAGTTGGGTGGTAAAGTCCGATATATCTATTGAGCCGGGAGCTGCGGCTTGGAAGAATTCGCCTGGTAAACGTAAAGGCTCGCCGTAAACTAATTCGGCCGATGATGTTCGAAGGTCCTCCTTAAATGAGCTCCTAATGCCCAATAGTATCAGAGGCAGCGTGTCTACCCAATTGCTATCAGCGTGGCACATTATGGCTGCCTTTAACTGACGGTGGAATCGTTCCACTAGGCCGTTGCAAGATGGATGATACGCGGTTGTTCTACGATGCTTGAATCCAATCATCTTTCCAAGGTACTGGAAAAGTGACGATTCAAACTGTCGACCACGATCAGTGACAATATCGGTTGGGCATCCAAATCTGGATATCCACGATATTAATGCCTTTCCAACTGTCTCGGCTGTTATGTCTGCCATTGGTATTACTTCGGGCCATCGTGTGCAACGATCCACCGCAGTCAAGCAATAGCGGTACCCCTGAGAAACAGGGAGGGGGCCAATAATGTCCACGTGAACGAAAGTAAATCGGGCGCGGGGTAGATCAAACGTGCCTAATGGTGACGAAATGTGACTTAGCGCGCTGACACGCCAAGCATTGTCGAGACCACTCACGACAGTCTTTACGAACGCCAGGCCAGACAAACCGCTCTGCTACTAATTTAGCACTAGCATTGGCGCCTGGATGGCTTAAGCTGTGAAGACTGTCAAAGAGTTGTCTCCTCAACGGCTTGGTAACAAAAGGCCTAGGTGTAGACTTGCTGACGTCACAATAAAGTTGCAGTTGAGAGTTTGGAATTCTCAACTTTTCCAGGCGGAGTGAAGATTCACCTCCCAGCAGTTGAGTCAGCTCTCGATCAGATGCTTGAGACGAAGCAAGCACGTCTAAGTCGATAGGTATCTGCAGTTCTTCGACACGTGACAGTGGGTCAGCGACGACATTATCTTTTCCCGATATATGTCTAATGTCGGTCGTAAACTGCGAGATATAATCAAGGTGACGATATTGCCGAGGCGAACAATTAGCTTTCCTTTCGTTGAAAGCATAACTGAGCGGCTTATGGTCTGTAAACACCACGAAATGTCTAGCCTCTAGCATATGACGAAAGTATTTGATGCTTTCGTATATTGCTAAGAGCTCGCGGTCGTAAGGCGAATATTTTTGTTGAGAGGGACTCAACTTCCGCGAGAAGAATGCTAACGGTTGCCATTCCCCACCTTTTAATTGCTGCAAAACTGCACCCATTGCCAGGTCGGACGCGTCTGTTACTAGCGCCAGTTCTGCCCGACAATCCGGGTGTGCGAGTAATGCAGCATCAGCAAGGCTTTGCTTGCACCTGTTAAAAGCTAAAAGTGCGTCACCAGTCAGATTCACTGGATGAGACGCCTTAACAGAGCCCGCAAGAAGTGCATTCAAAGGGGCTTGAATTGAAGCTGACTGAGGTAGGAAGCGTCTGTAAAAATTGAGCATTCCTAGGAATCGTCTAAGCTGCCTTACCGTTTTAGGCACAGAAAAGTTCTTTATGGCTTCGACCTTGGATTCAAGAGGTTTGGTGCCAGATGCAGAAATTTGATAACCTAAAAATGTTACCTCGGTTGCGCCGAAGACGCATTTCGATGTGTTGACAAGAACGCCATATTCCTTCATGCGAGTGAAAAGTTGATGGAGGTGGGCTTCGTGTTCTGTTTCGTCCTTGGAGAAGACCAAAAAATCATCCAAGTAGGCATAACAAAACTCAAGACCTCGCGTCATCTCGTCAACAAATCTCTGGAAGGTTTGGCTCCCGTTCCTCAGGCCGAAGTTCATAAAGGGAAATTCAAACAACCCAAAGGGTGTAGTAATAGCGGCCTTTTGTATATCCTCCTCAAAAACTGGGATTTGGTTGTACGCCTTCATTAAATCGATGGTGGAGAAGACCGTACAACCAGCGGTGCTGTGGGAAAAATCGTGTATGTGCCTAATAGGATAACGATCTGGAATAGTCCGTGTATTAAGCATTCGATAATCGCCACAAGGGCGCCAGCCGTTATTTTTTTTAGTCGCAAGATGCAAGGGTGAGGCCCAGGGACTTCTAGAAGGACGTGCGGTGCCATTATTAATCATAAGCTCAAATTCCTGTTTAGCGATTTTAAGTTTATCAGGTGCCAGCCTACGGGGTGTACATGATATGGGAGGTCCTGTTGTAGTCCTTATGTAGTGTACCGTATTGTGCTTTGGAACCACCAGCGTGCCTGAAGGGCGTGTTATTTCAGGGAATTTCTTTAAAAGATTGTGATAACGTGTGTCGCCTGTCAAAACCTTGATAGATGAGATATCAGCTTTAGCGAAAGAAGCAATTGACGACAATGTAGTAGTATTGTCAATAAGGCGTTGATTGCGGCAATCTACAATTAAATTATAAAAGCTAAGAAAGTCAACACCTATAATAGGTTTGGTAACATTAGCAACAATGAATCGCCAAGCAAAATTACGTCTTAAGCCTAAATTTAAATTAAGCTCTATAAAGCCAAACGTGTCAATTACCGATCCATTCGCGGCACTCAATTGGTAATCTGTCTTGGTTCGACGCTCTCGAAGTGCAGAACGAGGGTAGACGCAAAGGTCACTGCCAGTATCCACCAAGAACTGGGTGTTCGAGCTGCGGTCGGTTACAAAAAGGCGACCCGTTGAGGAGGGGCAATCGTCTGCCGCCATTAGCGACTGCCCTCGGAGTTTCCCGACTTGCCAAAATCGCAGGGCTTCAAGCACCTATGGGCCTGCGCTCCATACTTTGCGTGGTACCAGCACATCGGGTATTTGCGATAACTGGAATTGGATCTACTTCTCTGCCTCGAAGAAGAACGATGACGATCATGCGCTCTGGAACGACTACGACTGGTAGAACAGCATGCTGCACGGGTATGCTCTTCCAATTTCAGTGTAAGCTGCTGCACCATCTTCAACTCTGCAATGTCATCGGACGGATGAGATATATGCACCTCACGGGAAGATGTAGCAGCGATGTTACATGGTGACGTCAGCTCCTGTATCCGATCAGCTAGGTCTTCCAGTGAATGTGTCGGCTGCGATGCCAGCACAGTCTGGATATTATGTGGCAGGCGATTGCTCCAAATCGACCTAATGAAGTCCTCAGGAACTGAAGGACCAGCCAAATCCTGAAGGTGCCTCAAAAATTGTGATGGCTTCCTGTCTCCTAGCTCTTCATGGGTCAGCAACTGTTTCACCTTCTTTTCATGGGAAGCTGAGAGACGTTTGATCAGCTCTGACTTGATCTTGGCATATCGATTATGAGCTGGAGGATTGACAATAATATCCTTCACTGCTTTTGCGTATTGAATATCCAAATGATTGGTCACTTCCGTGAACTTAATGGAATCATCAGTGATGTCATACCTAGAAAACTGACCTTCAATAAGCGCGAACCAAAGTTCTGGATCCTCAGGTGAGAATGGTGGCACTTTTATTTTTAAGTTGGGTACATATTTATTTTCATGTTCCGTGGAAACGCGCACTGGGTGTGTCCGTCGTATACTTTGGCATCGTGGCGCGATCCAACCGTTTTCGCGGAGTCACTGCTATCACTCATCTTAATCTTCGTGTCCTTATCGGGGTCACCAGTTATAGCGGGATGGTGTGTGTGGTAGAATGTGTATGGGTCACAGTCTGGTAAAAATTAATTAAGTCCAAACGTACACAGTAAAGTTAACATTTATTCACTATAGACAGTTACACAAAATATAGATAGTTCCACACGACACAATATACAAATTAATAGCTATACAAAATTGAAGGAGTAGAAAGCGATAGTATAAAACAAAACTATAAAAGCTAGTATTCGCGATAAAATAACGGGACACTCGGTTAGCCAGGCGACATGCGCTTCGCGTGTGAGGTCGGTAAGCAGACTGGCAATGGCAAACGCGGTGCGAGGCGTTGAATGCGCCCGCGCAAGGAACATCGTTCTAACGGTATATGTATCGTTGTTTAGCGCGTTTCCATTGCACAACAAGGCGAGTGTAAATAATTTAGTAAATATATATATAAAATAAATTATAAGTGTATAATATATATATACAAAGTGACGATGAAGTTATTACGTTAAATGAAAAGACGTATTCTATACAAAGTTCTTTAAACATACACAACTAAAAAAATATATAACAATTAACATTCTGGGCGCGGTAGCCTTTTTTTTGTTTTAATATTAAACAACATCATGTAAATGCATCAGATATCACCTGATAAATACTAGAAGTTCAAAGACCCATGGCCCGTGAAGGCCAAGAGACCTATATTGTATTATAGTGCAACGTTGCCAATTTTAAATAATCAAATAAACTAATAAATTAAGCAAAAAATGTACTTATATGTAACAAAATAAGGCATAATTCTTATGCGCGATGCGACAAGAATTACACGTAACGTACATATATATATATATATATATATATATGTATATATATATATATATATATATATATATATATATGTACGTATAATATACAATAAGTACGCTACAAACTGATTGAAATTGTTCTAATTGCGCTACACACGTGGCAGCGGTAGCTATGATCTAGGGAGCAAGGAAGTTCTTGCGCCCCTGCCGCCCAGCCACAGGGCTGACTTAGGAAATTACCCCTGCTTTCATACAAAATATTATTTTTAAATTATTAAATATTAATAGTCTAATATAAATAGTATCGAAAAAATATTAATAGTTTTGCTCGTTTTGTGATACTGTACGGCAATTTGGAGTGTATTATCGGGCGACAAAACGAAGACTGGCGTTCGATTCGAGCTCTTTTTGTATTTTGGTCCATTTAGTCAATGTATATGATATTATTTTAAATGATAAAAAATGATACATTCACAATAAAAATACTTACATATGGAATACAACTTTTTGTAAACTTTAAGTATTTGACTGCTTTATGCACACGTTAACCGCACCGATTGGCATTTTTAAAAAACACCTACTTTGGCGGAAATGATTCTTATAAGGATAAAAATCTAGTGTGTTTATAAAAACGATTCCGTAAGCAGGTTTAATCAACGCACAAGATTTTTAAATCCAATACTTTGGCAGAGGGCAATAATCATGCGAGGCGAGTCCACTGTGTTAAATGGTCTAAAGGCGTCAACTCACTTGCCTGCCGCAGGGACAATTTAGGGTGTAGAAGTGGGGATTACCCTTAATTTCCTCCTTAATTGTGATGTGTGTATGAAAGCAGGGGTAATTTCCTAAGTCGGCCCTGTGGCTGGGCGGCAGGGGCGCAAGAACTTCCTTGCTCCCTAGATCATAGCTACCGCCGCCACGTGTGTAGCGCAATTAGAACAATTTCAATACCAGTTCGTTAGTGACTTTCGCGCGCAGCACACTTCACAATAGATATCAATAAAAAATGTGAAATTTGGACACTGGTGATAGAAGTGTATAAACAGCGGCTTCTTCACCCATTATCTCCTTTTTGTTTTTTCGCCGCAGAAGGAACGGAAAAGAAATAATGCTGCAGCTTTTAAGGACTGTGTTATGGTTGTAATTATTAATTAATTAGTTGTTTTGTCATAAATATGGGTGCCTATGGGCCACAGTATCTCCTTAACATTGATTCGATGTTTTATGAAAATACATCGATACATCGAGTATATCAATAACTTTCCAAAACATCGGATCGGTTCGATGCATCGTATTGTAAACATCGAGTGAATTCGATGCATCGATGTATATCGAATATCCCTACTTCCTGCCTCAGTTGTTACTCGAACGTGGAAATGATTGCACGTCTAGCATTATGGCGCAGACTTTATATATACGTCAAAAAATTGCTTTATTGTTTTTTTTACGTGGTAGAGCCATGCTACAGCTATATTAGTAGTATAGTTGTAGCACGAATGGGTCGGCTCGCCCGGGGAAGGACCACGCTCTCACAGAATACCAGCGTAAAATAGCAGCTTAACAATGCTGTGTTTCGTATGGTGAGTGTAGAGAACCGGAGACCCTTTTTACTGGAAAAGAGGTATTCCATCTCAGTCCTCACGGGTGACAACGCATCTGCATTTTGATTCGCATACGAGGATAAATGTAGGTGTCTATGGGCCACAGCAACCACTTACCATCGGGTGGACTGTGTGCTTGTTTGTCACCCTATCCTATAAAAAAAACTTTGGCTGGCGGTAACGTGCAAGGCCAAGCTAAAAAAAGGTAGGAAAGTTTAATGTGGATGAAAAAATATTTGCTCCTCAGAGAAAAACTATCGAATATGCAAATAGTCAGCGTTTTGGACACAACAGACCTACGAAACTATTTTAAAGAGTAGGTGAAAACCAATTCGACGAGTTATTAAGCTTAGTAACGCCTTTAATAGAAAAAAAAAATACTTTAATGATTTCTTATATTTACGCGAACACTACACATTGAATAAAACTACTTGTACTGATTCTATCGCGTTTAATTTTTTTTTAATTAATTCCCGACGTTTCGGTTGCTTTACAGCAACCAGTCCCCCATGACCATGGGTGGTAAAGCACCCGAAACGTCGGGAATTAATAATAAAAAAATTAAACGCGATAGAATCAGTACAAGTAGTTTTATTCAATGTGTAGTGTTCGCGTAAATATAAGAAATCATTAAAGTATTTTTTTTTCTATTAAACGCGATAGAATCCGTAAAAGAAGTTTTATTTAAAAGAATACTTTTTTAAGACAGATTGGTTGTCACTTTACGATTTTGGTCACTGGAAACTCCTATCAAGATTTGATAAGGCATTTCTTTGTAGCATGTCGATGACATTGAGAAGGACATCTTTTTCTTTAGCGCATGACATAGCTTTACGAACAATGATTTCGAGAGTAGATCGACACACTAGAACTTTAAATAAACAGACGTGTAGACTCTGCGCATGCGGCCACGCAACCAGGCGTAGGACAGTTGCCTTGAACCACAAAAATTTAATGGATGGTGGCGCCATCCATAACTTGTTTCCAAAAATAATTTGTTTATAGTTGGTCTTATGGCTTCACAGATGTCGCTACTTTGGAAAAATAAAATGAAATTTACTTACAAAATAAAAATAAGTGCACCAAAATATTATTGGTGATTTTATTGATAAAAATTATAATTTTAACATAAAAACACGTAATAATTATCGAATCAATCGATAAATATGACAATTATGATACTGGCAACCAGCATTTTATAATAAAAAATAAAAATAAAAAATGAAATAATTGTCATATTAAATTGTCATTCCTGTAACATCGCAAATAACCTTTTTATATATTATTATCTCACAAATACAAGTGTACTTATTGAAACTATTTACCTACTTTTAATATTAAAAGTATAAATTATTTTACAAAAAAAAAGTAAAAATTGTTTCAGTAAGTATGCGAATTAAAGAACATAATAGTTACATTAATATGATGTACATAGTATAGCTATATATAGCGAATTAGTTCGGATTCAATTTGTAGGAGACGCTAGTAGTTCAATTTTGTCTGCAATAAAATATCGTCAGAGGGCTCTCTTTTCCTGTATATACTTATTATACTCTTTGCACGCAACTGAGCTCCCTGCCTCCCTGTCTCTTATTACACTACACGATCCACAGCGCGGCAGGGAAGCAGGGCGGTCGGAACCACTCGGTCGCCCTGTTTAGGGACCCTGACTTCCTGTTTGTTATTACACTACCCTG